ACGCGTTCACGAGTCGCGCGTCATTTATGCGTGGTTGGCCTTAGGCTGATATGAACAACTGTGGTTAGACTCATCTTACCCTAAGGCAGCAGCATCGTTGCCTTGTCACTGGAGTATGAGGAAGAGTATCCAGTATCTTGCTTGTATTCCGACATTACTCTCAAACTATAATATTTACAGCTCAATTTATACATAGGAAATTACTCAGCGGATGCCAATCTCGAAGACGCAATTGTCAAAGTCAAAGCCAAGGAGATAGAAGCGTTCAAAGAGCGCGAGACCAACCCAAGACCAGTGGTTAAGTATGCTATACAATGGACACAGAAAAGCATTAATGTGGAAAAGGAACGTAAGAAGAAAGGAAAGCACAAAACACCAGTGACGCCAACCCGCTCTATTTGCAATGGGTATCAGCCTGCAGACTTTGTTTGGTCAATGCTCGCTCACAGTCAGTGTAAAACATGAATGCTGAAGGATATTATATACTCGTTTGCGGAGGGAGAATATCCAGGTGGGAGGCAAGTCGAGAAAGAGGGAAGGGAAAAGAATGATGGATGGGAGGTGTGGGTTAGATACTAGTGACCCTCTTTGAAGCCGTCGTTCGGGGTCTTTGCTTGATGACCATTTCGAGCTCTTTCAGCATGCTGGTGTTCGCGTCCGCTCGTTCGCGTGCAGCAGCCTGTTTCGCCCGGTCTTCCTTGACACGGGCAATGCGCTCTTCCCTGGTCAGAGACGCCCTTTTATTGCGGGACGGGAGAACTATGGATTCGAATATCTCCTCATCTTCGTCGACACTCTGGATAATGCTCGGATCTGGCTTAATATCGCCATTGAGCGCCCGGAGCGCATCTGCCGGGCTTCCCTCTACCGCGGTGGCACCGCCAAGGCTGGGTGTCGGCGACAATGGCAGCTTCAACCCGCTGGGCGGGCGCGACATATGATCTACCGAGGATCGCTTGTCGAAGCTGCTCATCAGAGCAGCTTTGCCAGCCTCCCATTCCTGAAGAAGGCCTCTGATGTCCGTTCCAATTGATTCGTATTGGGCAAGAAGAGTTGCTTCGAGTTCTTCCGTGTCGGTAGGCTCTGAGGTAGTGGACAGCTCTCTGATCAGATGCATTTTTGCGTGAAGCGCGCGGATGCCTTGAGTAAGCGTATTGAGCTTTCGATATTGAGCACGGAGATTCTCCCTGTTAGGAGAGGCTGTAGGCAGCGGCGAAGGAGGGATCACGTCACCTTAAGAACAGAGTCAGAGACGGATCGGATAATACTCTACATTGAGGTGAAAACTCACGGTCATCTTCATTGAGAATGCTGGCCATCTTGCGGGTATTCGCGCCCGTGACTTGAGCAAGATCCCGCATCTGCTCAACAGCCGTGCTCCATCGTACGATGTCGGATCCGCCACCATCGGCACCCAGAGCTAGGAGACAGCAAAGAATGCTCTTTCTCACGTTATATAGCCTTCCAAAGAGGGTGCGAAGAGCGCGCAATGAGTATTGGTCTTCTGTTTCCCGTTCAGCCAAGGCAGTCTCAGCTTCGGTAAGCTCTTCTAGTGAGACATCGTAAATGTCGTGGTACTTGGCGAGATTGTCATTGTCTGTCAGTGGTTGCAATATGTGCTGTGCCTGTAGGTAACGCTGCAACATTGAGTAGAAGCACTCGGACACGGTCCGGCGCAGTCTCAGACATCTTCGTGTCTGCGCTTGATCCTCAAGCCTACTTACAGGAGGCAAGGGCGTGCTTCTGGTACGGGGTTTAGCATTCTCGGCCTTCATAGCGCTTGATCATGCAAGATCAAATGTAACTTACATGCGATAACCCCGTGAGACCAGCTCGACCTCCTGTATGAAAACGACCGATGCCGAAGCAGCGGAATCGAATGACTGCGCATTGCTTATGAATACCACAGCCGCATCAACAGCCTGATGCCGCAGGTACTTGAGCCACTGGCGTCTGGCAAAAGCATAGAACAGAACCCCAAGCACTGGGACAAGGACCAGAAGTACACCGACTTTCCGAGGGTTGAATCCGGACCCCGTCCGAGATCGACTCCAGTGTACCAGCCAAGCGATTGAGAAGGACGTTGATGCTGTGACAACGGCACCCTGCACGCCAAAGGTTGTGGAAAGCGATGGAAGGTCAACGGGGTTCGAGTTGGATAGTACGTCTGCGGCTGACGTATACGAGGGTGCACTGTGTTCGTTCAACAGTTGCGATGCGACGATAACGTATCCAAACTGCTCTAGGAATCTTTCATTATCGCTTCGTCCGACGCGCGAGTTCAGGGCGGTCTATTCAAATGAAAACTTATCAGCCAGTTCCGGACGCAGCTAATAGGGTAACATGGTTGGAATCCATACTGCACAGGCATCGTAGAGTTTACCCAAGATTGCCCTCTGGCGCGAGGATCTCAGTTCCAGGGGTTTGGGTAGCTTGTTTCGGATTCGCTCTTGAAATTTTGAAGTGCCCCGCGGGGCAAAGTCTGATGCTGCTGAGTCGAAAGGGTCATCCTCACTCCTTGTTTCCTGGACCGGCCAGTCTGGATCGTGTTCACCTTCCCCTGAATGGCCAATGATATCGTCATTTACTAATGCGAACTTTATGCGTGAATCTCCACGGAGACATACCTTTCAGATATTCCGCCAACGGCGAGTTCTCATAAACCAGGGCTTCCATGACCTGCAATCATTCCGGTTTATATGTTGGCAGAGGAGAGGAATCGTGGCGGGACGAAGCGGATAGTGAGATGGTAGTGAAGGAGCGGCGGATTTGGAGGGAATATCAACTGAACAAGGCTAAATAAAAGTAGAGACTGGTGAGACGAGGTTGACGGAAGTTATTCATCGGCCATCGCTACAGCGATTTCACGGCGAGGTGTGCTTGAGGGGAGGACGTCAATGATAGCGGATTCCTTTGGCGGCAAGTGGAGGGAGTAAGCAGGAAGCAAGGACGCACGCGACTTTTAGGGTGACAGTCAGAGAGCAACTAGCGCATCACATGGATTGTTCATAGAATTAAGTGAAAAAGTACATATGTAATAATCCTGGAAATGACTGCCCTGGTCGATATGCAAGGTACAGGAGAGTTAGAGAGCAAGAAGAGAGGGCCACGTTGAAGATCAAGCTGGGTTCATGTGTCTGGGCCTCTCCGGGGATGGAGAGTGCTTTGGCTTTCGTCGAATCGGAGTTCTCATACCACGAGCCCATTTGGCTTTAACTTGCTAGTCCTCCGTAGCATAAATGCTGACCCACTAGGGATAGTCAGGAACGAAAACTGGAATAGATGATGAGGAGATGATGAGGCTAACAGATGTCTATTGGGTGAGATCTATTAACGTCGTTGGAGAAAGGAGTATGATCCAATCCGATACTACCTAACAGAAGCCCGTCTGATCATTACACTCATATGACAATGCTAAGTGATGTGATACCAGATCAGACCGAGGTTCCACCCTTCACTCTTACACTACAGCTCTTTTTCAAATGTCAACCTCGGACGAAGGACTACAGCGGAAATCCTGCAGCATTACCCGCAGAATCTTTGGGCCCACGGTTTCACAATCATATTAGACCATGATCTTTTGAAACGAAATGATTGGCTACGACGTTCTGATGCACACTGACTGCTACTGTTCAAATCAGACTATCAGGAAGATTGAGCTTCTGTCAGTGCTAGCCCACATCTATCCATTCTGATCAAAGTGAGGAACTTCAGAGAGGGCCGAACACTCTCGATCATCGTGGTCTTTAGTTTCCAATCTCAACGCGTTGTCACCGTGGATGTTGTCCTATTTCGGCGGCCAAGGTAGGTTTTCAGGGACAGTCTCTACGATACGCCAGTCAGTAGCAGTGGACTCCATCAGCTCACCATCAATTGGATAACACGACGGTCGATGAAAAGCTTTACCTGATGGCTAGATGCGGATGCATTACGCAGGCCTCGTTGTGCCATGGTGCTTTAGGTACGGTGTGTTTACTCTGTAAGCATGGCTTCCTAAGCTGGATGCTCAAGTGAGCACGCAGTACGGATTTCAAAGTGGGAAGTCCCTGCTTCCTATATGCTTAGTGATGCTGTATAGGGTATTTTCAGCAGAGCCATCTTCTGTTATTCTCGAGCCCGGGATAAAAATTAGCAGCCTTTGAGATGCCACCATATCAAAAGTCAAGCAACTGGCGAGAGCTCTGTGCCAACGAAGCGAGCAATCTGCTACGCGCCTCTCGCAGTTGCCTGCAAAAGCCAACTGCCTCAAGACACTGGTCGCAAGCGAGCAGTAACCTAGTCATTTTAACCGTACTTGTCGACGAGCAATCTTATCCAACAGGCCTACAGCTTTCTGGACACGCGTGGCGACTAGCAATATCGCTGACAAAGTTTTATCATAACCCCCTTAGGAAGCCTAAGAGTCTCCAGCCTCAGCATAGAAACCAGAGCGCTTGAGATCGGTCTTTCTCGCGCAGTCAAGTTCTCTCTCATGTGCGATGATCCATCCATGGCCATGGGAGAACGGCTCAAAGTAGAGACAGTTCATCGGCAAGCATTCACGCGTGGAAATGGATGAGATTCTATATGCTGGACTAATTGAATATCTCCAACCGGTGTCTAACCGAAGAAAACCGAATGGAAGTCGGTCTGGCTGCCTCAGAACTCAGGTACCAATATGTTACCTGGGCAACCGCTTCCCGTCAATAGTCCAGGCCTCGCGTTTCCATACATTATTTCAGTCCATGAGACTACCTTAAATCTTCACCATTTATCTTTATCTCTATTCCTTATGACCAGCAATTTGTTATCGGAATCTTAAATTATTGAGTGTCTCTTAACGTGTTTGTTAGATTCTCTGATTGTTATCTTTCCCACCAAGTTCGACGCCTTAACCCGCCTCGATTAAGTACGAACTCTCAAAGTGTCAAGCGCACTAGGACTGATAAGCTTCCTGAGATCAGATATTGGTTACATCCTTTAAGGCTATTTGATGGGATAATTTCAGAACAACAACCATCATGTCTGGTCTATTGCAGGAAATTGGAACTCCTTGCCCAGTAAAGTCAAGGAATTCGAGAAACAGTGATACTATCCATACATTTGATAGCTCGTGGGAAGGAACCTTGGAATGTGGCGACGATACTGCCAACCTCGATTTCACCACTGCGATCAAAAACAATGCCTTGATTAGAGTCAAGCCCAAGCGAAGGGTGAAGGCAGGAACATCGTTCGCAATCCACGATGAGAACAAAGAGAGACCTACGCACGCAGTGCCGAAACGAAAAGGAGAGAGCACAATCACAGCCAGAGTTTCTGGCCGCAAATCCTCATTGCTTGCCCAACCAGCCCATCGATTCCGTCCGAAAGTCAGCTTCGCCTCGAGTTCGCCATCCAAACCACAGCTCCAGAAAGCAGAAGTCAAGCACCAGAGACAGAACATAGATGCCGGTGCAGAGACAAACAGGTCATTACTAATGCGAATCAGCGGCGGAGGAGGCGAAGATGAACATAAAGATAAACTCAAACGAGATGTGCGCCGCAATACGGTTTTCATTCCCCCGGACGATACTACGGTCGCCAGCGTGTTTATGAGTATGTTCAGTCCGCTCAAGTCCGACAACCTCAATCACTATGTTCCAGAGGACACAGAGATCAACAGCCTGGAGTCACAAATTGTGCGGAAACGGCAAGCGAAGACAACGATGGCCTCTGGTCGAAAGACTCCGCTGCAACCAAGTCTTGAAGTGGTGCAACGAAGTGCCATGAACATCGATATCGCTGGCAAGAACACTGGAAAGGAGAATATTCCTCCAGGGGCAATGATCTTCAATTCCAATGACAAAAGTCTCTGGAAATCAAATACGGAAGAAAAATTGAACTCAGAATCGCCTAGAGCCCTATCAGACAAAGCCCGTCCTTTTGCAACCCCTCTGGCGAGGCCACTGGCGAAAGTGGCCACCAGCGAAGGGCTAAGAAGATCTGTGCCCGGTGAGAAACGATATAATGCTAGGGCATCTGTAAACGGCATCGGCAGTAGAATGGACGGTATCGTCAGAAGCGGCTCGAGACTTGAAGGCGCCGTTCTGTCCGCTTCCAGGAGAACACCCCTTTCGAATGCGCTCAAACAGTCCAAAACATACAAAAGCAACGCATCGCTAGTCAAGAAAGAGACGGCAATGACTGGTTTTGCACTCATATCCGACGATATTGTCAACCCAGCGATGTATGAGGACCATTGGCTTGCGCATCAGGAAATAGTAATCACGCAGTTAATCAACCGATTATTCGATCGAACGGACGGTCAGGTGAGATATGATGACCCTGCAGCACGCAGACATGAGCTTCTTCAACTGTATCAAAGCGGACCTTTTGTCGAACTTCATAAGAGATTGCAAGCGTCGTTGACGTGTGGCTCTCTCAGTATACCAAAAGATGCTCTAGCACAAACAAGGCGTTTGAGACATGACTTGGGTATGAAGCGGAAGTTCTTGGATATTTGGTTGGAAACGTACGACCTTCGAGCACTGAGAGCAGCTGCCGAGACGGTTACCGGAAGAAGAGTTGAAAATGAGTCCCTTGATGGAGATTCCCATCATTTCTCGGTTGAAACGACTACAGATAAGGAAAAAATCCTCAGACGAAAACTGGAACGATTCTTGGATGTCTTCTTGGTGCAAAACAAAGATATAGATCGTGATTCCCAGGATCTTAGCTACGCGGGCTCAGATATGATTTCCCAAGCATATCGCCGTACAGTCCTTCGGAGTATCATGATGGTTATCCTTTTGGACAAGGCGAGATTGTGTCCAGGAACAATACTTCCAAGTTGCCTTTTTAGGTTCTCGTCATCTTTCAAGTCTTCCACAGCGGTTATGCAAGCACTGGCCCGTCTTCTGCTGCCAGCATCGGGTGACATTCTGAAATCACTCAAACATTTGGACTGTCTCTTGTCATATGAACAGCACCAACTTCAAGAGTACGAGTATCAAATGAGTAATCTTGCGGTTGACCTCAGGGACGGTGTGCGATTGATTAGGATTGTGGAATTGCTCCTTTATCCATCAGTAGGGGCTGTAGGGGAGTCAGTGCCGCCACTGGACAACGATCAATGGCCGCTATCGAGACGTTTAAAATTCCCCTGCTCGAGCCGCACAGTGAAGAAGTTCAATGTACAGATTGCTTTGGATGCTTTGAAGTTGGCACCAGATGCTGCGCCGCTTGTTCGTGACGTGCACGCCGAAGACATAGTTAATGGCCATCGCGAGAAGACGATTGCCTTGCTATGGGGGTTGGTCAGTAGATGGGGTCTTTCGGAGCTCATCGACTGGGATGATGTGAGGAAAGAGATTGACAGACTGAGGCAGAAAGCTACATCACAGCTCGGATACGAACAGGTCAACGATGCAAATTTGGTTAAGGAGAAGAGTCCTAATGACGAAATTGCAGAAGACGACGAAGCTATTGTATTGCTCAAGGAATGGGCAACCATCTTGGCTCATCTGAGTGGGCTCCAGTTGGAAAATCTCAGCACAAGCTTTGCGGATGGAAGGATCTACGAGGCTATAGTGAACGAGTACGAAGAATATATCCTGGGCAATGTCGCATCAAGTCCTGGCCGAAAGCCAACCTCGTTGGCAGCCCGTCTACGAGCACTTGGCTGCAGTTCTCAGTTTGGTGAGTTTATCTCCAGATTGCAGCCCAGGGCAACGGCTAACCGATGATTGTAGCGAACCTCGTCTCTCCTAGCAATTCCCGCAAGGCACATATCTTCGACAGCAGTTTCACGGTTGGAGGGCTCGCCTTCCTCTGCTCTCGATTACTTTCGTCGACCAAGCGAGCTCGAGCTGCTATAGTGCTCCAAAGTGCATGGCGACGCGTCCTCGCACACTGAGAAGCTCACCGAAGAAGTGTGGCGAGGAATCTGGCACTGCAATGCGCAGCGGTCGTGCAGACAAGGGATCGGCTGCTTCGGGCCAAAGCGATCATCCTGCGATGGTGGAGGAGATTGAAAGAGCAAAGGCAGCAACGTAGCAAGATGGGCAGTCGATCAGAGAAGCGTCTCCAGGCAGCGACACGGGCGCCTCGACGTGGCCATGGAAGGACGCGTGTCTAGCGGATGGCAGGGGAGCAGATGCTTCCAAGCCATTTCCGCTATTGGGAGTTTTGGTATCCTTAAGGGTCACAATTTCTTTTTTCCTGCATATGCTTTGGGCGTCTGTCGATCTGGCATTGGCAGATGATTTACTGTACAGCATCTATATTATGGGTAGTCTATGAAACGAGAACACCTGTTGCAGCGACACTTGATACAGCCACGATGATCTAAGACTTGAAACAAGAAAATATGTAGACATCCAATCATCAGCTACTAGGAAACCGGCCCAAGCCTAAATTATGATGCCTACAGAATGTATCCGACTACGCCCCTATTTGAAAATATAATTAGAAACCCAGCCCTGCGATTATCATCATGATAACATACTGACGAGGACGGCCAACCTATATCTAGCAGCCTATACATAGTATTATCCTTTGTGTGCAGCCTTACCTACATGCATGGCTGGGATGGATCATCGCCGCAATGCCCGATGCGCAGCGTATCCGGAACCTATGATGTCATCCCTGTCAAAGCGACTCTCATCTGACAATAACATACCTCACCAACACTACCCAAAGGTAAGTCTTCGATGAATACTCCGTACAGTTTGTTATGTGGGGACTACCTAGTAGATTCCGTGCCTGGTTATCTTCGTTTCGTTGTCTTTGATTGCTGGAAGATTTGGGGGGTATGTCATAGGATGGATGAGGTGTGTTGGGGTTGTTCGGCCGGATGCAGATATATTTACCCAGGTGTTATTGTCTTACCCCCCTAGTTAAGGTAGTTTCCCTGGGGTCTATCCGACATAATAATTGGTAATTTGCGATTGGACATGACGTATGAGTCTATCAATATGGGAATGATGGATGCGAACGGAAATTCGTTAATGAAGGGGATATAGGCTGTATTGTAGCTATCTAGTGCCTGGTGGAAAGGTGCAGGTGCCCTGATATAGCTCCGGCGTTCGGAAATACCCGAGGTTCAGATGCTGGATGGTCCATTGCTTCAAGATGACTACTGACAGAAGAAAATTGATATCTGGCGTTTGTGGGCTTCTGGTACGATCTATGTCGTATTGTGAATTGGAGTAGTCTACTCCGTGCTACGAGTATTTTTTATGGGTTTAGAATATTGCATGAAAATACCTTATTTTCCTGCGAGTATTCATTCAAACAACGTATTCCGTCTGCTACTTATCAGTTGAACCTGCACGGCAATAGCATAATTTTGTCTTTCCGTTGATGTTAGTTCTGCCTGATTACTGCAACTCAATGTAACCAGGACTAGGTAGTGCTCGGGAACTTTGTGTCTCAATTGCCATTATTCGGACCCAATCATGAGATCAATACTTTCTTCCAAATTTGGAAGTATGTATCAGTCCTCTTGATACCAAGCGACAAATATTGTGTTGGCATTTGGCTCGTAGCACTTTGGGGAAATGTTCGATTCAGCCTCGATATATACGTAGTATCACTATCGATGATCGACATGATCTACCGCTAACGCTAGCTGTTGTCGGCTGTCTCAAACCCTCAACACGAGCCTATGTACTGGGTGAGAAAAGGGGCGCAGGATCTCTGCGCCGCCTGCGCCCCCTCCCGACGCTGAGCTGGCAGATAGGGCACAGAAAACCACATATGTAGAATGTGCAGTACTTGGCAGAGCGCTTGGCAAAAGCAGAGTAACTTGAGTATGGAACGGTCGGTCGACGGTAACACTGGAGGAAACAAGAGGGTGGCTTAAGCAGGAAGAAAAAGCAATGTTTGTCTGGTGTCGGCTGTCCCTCCGCGCTCCCGACGACACTGATACCCTAGCCATCCACGAGTCACGAGATCGCGGAGAGGGTAAGTAGGCCAAACATTGTTGTAGATATTTCGAGGATAGTCGATCATCAAACGGATATCAATATTCAATACAGTGTCATCTAGACGGGGCACCGGTATGAGTTATCGTCTTGGCAGAGGTAAAGCAACGTCGCCAAGTGCTGCTGTGGAATGAAAAGGGGAGTAAGGACTTTCAAGGAGGACATCCCTTTAAGCATATCCTGCTGACCTCCAATTTCCCAAAAGGGAAGATGCAGAGGACCAGCATAACTGTGCATTGTGTATTGATCTTGGCGGCTCTTGGCGGAGCTCTTGGCTGCTTCATCAAGTATGCAGTGTGCTCCCTTGAATTTGGAATTCGTCCGGTGGAATGCGTTGTGCAGACGATCAGTAGATCGCGATGATGTGCGAGGTTGATTTGACTTGGCTGTACTCCGTCTGCCAGTTCTGACGGTCTCCGGACTCCGTACACTGTTTGCCGTACAACTTCAGAGATCTATAGTTATCTCACCGAGTCCGCAGAACGGTCGGGACCCTTTGGGTCCAGGGCTATCTGGAATGCTTCCAGGTGCATGACACTTCGGGCTGAGCCTGGCCAAAGCAAGGCAAGTCCCATGTGTAACCTGTTACACTGCAGAGGTCATTGTGAAGGAATGTATTTCCCCGTGGTATGTACTAGAACATACGGTATGGTACGCTTGATACCGTCCAGAGATTCAAGTCATACAGACCGTTTCAAAACGACTGTTCAATGTCAGACCAGGTCGACTTCAACATCAGCAAAATCGTGGGGGTGTCGATGTTGAGACTTGAGAGGCACGACTTGGGATGATAATGAGGGGTCAGAAGGTCCAAAGGACGAGATCAAAGCATTGTTATAACTTTTCACAGGCAACTGTACATAACCCCCGCATATGATCCTAGTAAGATCCCGTCTTGGTACTTCTCGCTTGAGTCAGGTATTACTTGTCGACCGTTGACATTCTGCGATGATTTGACAATTGACGAACACCGAAAACCCCCGACGATGAAGGCTTATGCGTAAGAGGAAGAATACGACCCGAAGCTTTGGATCGAAGCAGCTGTCAAAGAAGAAATGCTGTCTGTGCCCTTCGATCAGTTCATTCAGTTGCAGCTTTGCTTCTGTTGGCGCACAGTTAGTGTTTATCTTACTACATCTGGCAACACTTGCATGCACCAAGAGTGCCTGAGCGAGACGCAGTTGGCAACGCTCAACGTGTTGGAGTGGAGAGCGCAACCCGCGAACTGGCTACTGACAAAAATCCCTCATACAAAATGTGCTCGCGGTTAATAAAGGGCCCCGTCGTTCGGCGTATCAGATGCTGGGCCGACGTCGGCCACTGAGACATACAACGCCAGTTACGATTATTACTCATCCATACGGACTTTGGAGGTGCGGACTAATGCTACATAATCCTCTATGGTCATAATCCTCAAGCAGGCTGAGGATTGAGCTGCTGGTCTGCTACATCATCCTTTGTACAATTCAGTAGCCTCCACTTACCCTGGGTCTCGATGTAGTTTGCCATTTGCCTTCTCGAATCCCAGCAATTCAACTGGGGAATCCGCAATCCGCGATAGGATATCCCGTATGCCACATAGACTCGTTCTTAGGGGCGGGAAACCACGCTTGCGATATCTTTTTCTGGTCCACCGGTGACCGAATGTGGAAGGGACAGGAGCACCCAGTTAGACAGGGAGCATGAAGCAACGCGGGAGCCATTCGCCTTCCATCGGCAAGATCCCATATCGGTCGGCTTTGATGTGCTGACCACGAGTTCCCAGCTGGCCACATGCCACTGTTGTCGAGCGGTATGATTGGATCTCAATCGGAGTTTCAGATGACCGAATTGATTTCATCCCACAGTCGACTGCCGATCTATGTATTCTGACAAGAAGCGTGTAACACTGAGAGCGTCAAAATTGCTTGAGATTCAGCATCAAGCTCCGCCTTGATGCTTGTTTGCATATCTGTCATGCACAATATCTCGTGTATGGCGTCCTCAGCTGTAGAGACAATGATATCAGTGGATGAATCTCACTCAGCATTGACATCCACTGTCGTATTGGAGCTGATGTTGCCCCAGGATACTTTCTCGTAAGGCTGAGCTTAGCTTTGCTCACCGTTCTTCGAAGCATATTATCCGTCCTTTCTCAACACGAGACATCTTACCAGCTGATATCCTGAAATGCATCTCAGTTGCTCGGATCCTGGAATCAGAAACAGTAGAGACGAGGAAAAACCGTCAAATCCTCATCAGATTGGCTGATGACGGTGGATAAAAAACAACAACCACAATAGCAATCTGGCACAGGTGGGGGTTATCCTTGATGTGTAGGAAGCTTGACCAAGACTTTGGCCGATGGGCCTCCGTTGATTCGCAAACATGATCCGTAGCTGGCTGGTGGTCCCCGCTTTTTTGAAGGCAATGAAGGCTGGCGGACTGACCATTTGGCGTTCAAAACTCGCAAGCTCATCATCAATCAGAGGGCTGCTTTTTTTACTTTTTCTGACCGCTTCTCTGGCGTCAATCTTCATGATCCAATCTCAGGCTGAAATCGTCAGCTCTCCAGCCAACATCGTATATGTGGAGATTGGGGGACTATCGAAGGATCCGAAGCCTAAAGAGATGCACGATGATCGGAGAGTTCTCAAAGAGATGGACACTTTTGGGAAGAGATCGTGCTTAGGTGGATATCTCATCGCCACGATACGGTCTTGAACAATGCCGAAAAAGCAACATTTTCTTCGGAATGGACATGGATGCTCTGGTCGGCT